CCAGTCAAATACTAGAGTCCTCGAGCTCCCCCCCCCCAGTTCTGTTCGAAGTGGCCCGACCGGGCAAGGCGGTGACTGAGGGCTCCAAACCCAGTCCGCGCAAGCAGGGGCAGGCGCTCGCCAGACAGCTAGGACGCGAGAATAAAGATGAACGCATCATGTCTTGGTTTGGTCGGCCCGACGAGGCCGACGTTGATCGGCCCTCCGTCTCTGAGAATGAGGTTGAGGTTGGCGAGGAGGGCTCCGGCGCGGTGCACTACCCCATGCAGGTCGATGACGAGTGCGACCCGCGGGCGAACGAGCCCAATTTCAGCGCCGCCGCCCCCGCCGCCCCATCGTTGCGCGCAGGAGAGAATGTTGCAGTCAACCAGTCGAACTTACAGAGTCATGCCCAATCGCGCTAGTATAATCCCCCTACGAGATGGCGCGCCGCCCGACGAGGAGTTGGCCCAGGAGCCCCACTGTCGCGGCAATGCGGCCTCCAGAGACCCCGACGCCTCGGGCTCGATTCCTCTCGCAGTGTCTGACGAAACCTGGAGCCAAGCTAGACAAACAACCGGGTTCTCTCCGCATTCGTCGCGCTCCCCTGCCTCCGCGGTTGCTTCCTCCGTAGCTTTTTGGCTCGGGAGCCTCTCGCCTTTCTTTGCGCGCAGCAGTTCCATATTGCAGTTGGGCTCGGACAGTGGAAGGGGCGATCCACGCCCGTCGCGGGCAGTCCATGCCCGAGCGCGGCCGAGGCCACGCTGTCATCTTCTCAGTCCCGGAGGCCCAGCAAGCCGAGCCAGCGCGGGGCTCTCCACTCCGCGATCGAGCGGCGGGGTGGCGGACGCCGGCGGCTACCGTCAGCGAGGGTTTTCATGGGCATCGCCAGCGGCGAAACGGCGCCAAGCAGCAGGAGTTGCCGGCAGCTGCCGCTCGCGCCCTCGCCCCGAAGATTGCTGAAGGAGCGCCGCGCATCCTTCGACGGGGAGATCTTCTTCAGTGGTGCGAGGTTGCGCAACAGTTGGGCGATCTACATCGCCCTGCCCCAGGCGAGCGCCAGCAGCCGGCAGGGGCAGCGGGCGCCCTCGCAAGGAGGGCCCAGCATAGGGCAGCCCAAAAGTCGATCAGCGAGCTCCCAGAGTTGGCGGAGACAGCCCCTGTCGTCGGCGCCCCCCGCAAAGCGCTCGAGGAGCAGGTGATTTCTGGGGACGCGCTGGAGGTCGGCACGCGCGCCCTGATCCACCCCAGAGACATCCCCGACGCAAAGAGCTCCACATGGGAAGCCACGTGGACGTCAGCCCCGAGCGACCTCTCTCAGCTGCAAGAAATGTTTCAGGATATCCGTGAACGCGTCAGTCTCGAGGCACTTCCCAGCATTTCAGTCGATGATCTGCGGCAGGCGCTGAGAGGCATCATGCCGAACGCAGCGCGCGTCATCGATCGAGTCGGCAGCGCCGATTACGATCGACTTCCAGACAGCGCCCTCGCCGAACTTGCCAGTCTTCCTTCTATGTGAAGAGCGGCAGGTGCGGCCGCGCCAAGGTGCGTCGACTCTGGGCGCCCTACTCCCCAGTGAGATTTCAGGGGGCGGGGCCACGGGGCTACTACCACACCTCGGACGGCTGCGGCCCAAGGCCCGCGAGTGTCACAGCAGGTCTAGGATAGGCCAGTGCGAGACGCACTGGGGCGTTGCCGGTCGAGGCAACGCAGCACTCCGCGAGGTGTTTCTACGCGCTGTCGACGAGGAGCTGTCAGCGTGTCTGGGCGCCTCCGTGGGCCGCGCTATGCTCGACGCCGTCAGTTTCTACGGCGTGGTCGGGCGGTGCCGCGTGGGCCGAGCAGCGCGGCGTTTGAGCTACCCAGCGGAGATGCTGGGTCTTGAGCCCCCGCAGTGCATGGATGCCTGGACGTTGCGATTGAATGGTGCATATGGCAAGGCTTTTGTTCCATCCTTTTCCATTGCTCAGGGCCTCAGAGGAGGCGCAGGGTTCGGCGCGTGCGCCACCTGCCGCAGCATGCAGACCAGCGCGACGGCTCACGCGAATCTGCCACACAGGATTTGGGTGGATGATCTCAGCCAGTTTGTCGTGCATCGAGTCATTCCCTCTGGAAACAAATGGTCAATTGCCTGTGCGACACATGAATTGACATGGAAAAGGCTGGGCTCAATAATGCCCCCTAAGAGCGTAGTCCTTTGCGCGCGCATGGCGGATTCACGCGTGTCAGCATGCGCGCAGAGGGCGCAGGCCCCGCGTCGCCGCCCAGGCTGCCTTCGTGGGCGGGCGCCTATTCTGGGGGGGGGAGCGCCGCCATGCGCTCGCCGCCCGAGGGGGCCGAGCCGTCCAGCGCAAGCAGATGTCGGCCAAGGTTTTCAGATTCGCCGGCGCGTTGCGCCGTTGCAAGCAACCTCGGCGACTGGAGATGCAGGGGGCCCAGGCGGCCAGCTGGCCAGCTTGCATTCGCACCAACCACGGGGAGTTTTCGGCAGTCGCATGGTCGCCGCGCGTCGGAGATCGGCTGACGCCGCGGCCCCCGGACTCACGCGCCGCTGCGTCACCGCAGTACTCGACCTACAAGCGGCCGGGCGCGACCCTCAGTTTAAGTCGCCGTGCGACACGCGTCGATTATGGACAGTCGCGTTGATGACGCAGCCAACCATCCGCGCCTCCATGACGGCTACGTGGAAGGGAATGGTTGGCGAGCTGGCGAGTTTGCCCGTGGCGAAGCGCACTCGGCGAGTGCGTGGTCTTCAAGATGCTGTCGTCTGTTGCCTCCTGGACCCAGGCTGGCCACCGCAGGGCCCTGCGGAATGGGCCGCGCCTGACGGCGAGTGCGAGTGGCAGTTTCAATCGCGCGCAGTCTCTGGGCACATGAGCATCGATATCCCTGACAGCTTCACGGGCGAATGTCGAGGCCCCCTTCCAAGCCAAGGCTTGGCGCGAAGCTGCCGAGCATGTCGACGGCGCTGGCGCGGGGGGAGGTGTCTGCAACCACTTATGTCGTCGACTTCTCAAGGAGGCGAACGATGCTCCAGGGGGGCAACGATTGTCAGGGCCCCTTCTGGCCGCGGGCGCGTCGGTCGTGGCCCGGGGCCCGGCGACAGACGAGGCGCAGGCGGGTCGTGAGCGCCATGTGCCCGCGTTGCCCAGATGGGTGAGCTCGGCCAGGAATGAGCCCCCATCGAATGTAGGAGTGCGAGGGCGCCGACTTGCAGCGCCCCGTTTATACATTGAGTGAGCAACTTGTCAGCAAAGCGTTTGCACAGCACGAGGGTGGCACATGTTTGCGGTTTCGGGGCCTCCTCCCCGGCAGCTGGGTCGAAGCTCCAGAGCCTCCAGTAGATGAGTCTTTGGTAAGCACGTCTCAAGACGAGTTTCATCACTTAGGCCACGGGCCCCCCAGTGAGCCTCTGTATGTATGCGGGGACGCTACCGGGGCGAGGACACCCACCGCCCCGAACTTCGTATGATCGGTTTCGGGCTCTCGTCCCTCTCAGCCTTGCAAGAGCCTATGCAAGTCTCCGTATGTCCGCGCGGGGGCCTCTCCCTGGGCGCAGGCAAACGGTTGCCCGAGGGGAGTTGCTCTGTCTTCTAGCCTGCCTTCGTCGGTCAAGCGGCCGAGTTCGTTATGGCATTGATAATTATATGATTGCGATGGGTGGTTTGAACGCAGGCGGGTTCGACCCGCGGGCCCAGGCGCCGACCTTCGGCGGCTGCTCGGGCCCGGGGTCGAGAAGCGAGGTCTCCTAGACAGCCCCGTTCTTTTCGCCCACGCACACACACACACACACACACACACACACACACCTCAGTGCCGAGGACAGCGCCCATGGCAACACCATCGCAGACGAAATAGCAGCGGGGGGGGGGCCACGCTCGCTCGCCTTCGCGAGAATGCGCGTGCACGCGTACAGCAGAATGATCAAACAGCTTTCGCAGTCCGCACGCGTACACTCCAGAGCACCTTCGAGGCCCGCAAGGCTGAAGAATCGGAGACCTGCGGTTGGGACTTCTGCGTAGGCGGCCTGCTGTTGTGGTCAGGCCCCCAGCGGCCAGCGCGCGTGCCACTTTCTCAAGCCAACATTGTCTTGCAAATTCTAAGAGCTGCAACAGGTGTCGGGGGCCCGCGTCCGCAGCCACTAGGGCCTCATTGTTCCAGACTTCTTTCTTTAATTTGGATAATGTCGACGGGGTCCTCTTGAGGCCTCCCTCAGGGCATAACGTGCACATCGGGGGGTGGTTTGTGCATACTTCGCATAAGGTTGTCTTTCACACGGGCTTTCAGCTTTGGTATTGTGTTTCCAGCGGCTGTTACGCTTCTCAGCAGTGGTGTAAGCTCGGAAGTGCATCTGCCAATGTTGTGTCAGGTAATCGCACCGATTATCTCAATCATATCAGCCGCGGAATGTGGCCAAAAGTTCTAAGCAAAACAGAACGAGCTAAGAGGTCGAGGCACGAAGCAGCAACTGGGGAATACCTGCTTTATCCTCCTCCTCCTCCTCCTCCTCCTCCTCCTCCTCCTCCCCCTCCTCCTCTTCCCCCCCCTCCCTCCCCTCCCCTCCTCCTCCTCCTCCTCCTCCTCCTCCTCCTCTCCTCCTCCTCCTCCTCCTCCTCCTCCTCCTCCTTCTCCTCCATCATCCTCAACCTCCTCCTCCTCCTCCTCCTCCTCTTCCTCCTCCCCGTCCCCATCCTCCTCCTCCTCCCGTTTGCTTCGTCCTCTTCCTTCCAATCTTCCTCCTCCTTTTCCCACCCCTCCTCCTCCTCCTCCTCCTCCTCCTCCTCCCTCCCCTCCCTTCCCTTCCCCTCCCCTCGGCCCTGGGTAAGCCCCCCTGCTGCCAGGAATTGGAGGACTCCAAGGTTCTGGTTTGGACTCGCCTGCACAAGCAGGGGCACGAGGCCCAGGCAAGGGAAGGACAAGCAGCCACCATCGGCGGCTGCGGCGGCCTAGACGGCGACGGCCCCCTCCTCGCCCCCTCCTGTGTCGCCCTCTCCTGTTTCGCAGCAGCGTGCCGCGGCCAGGCGACGCGACAACGGCAGGCGGTGGAGGAGCTGGAGGCCAAGGCCATGGCTGGCAGCAGGCGTCCTCAGCCAGACCGCTCTCTCCCCCGACCTGTGGGCCCCGAGTTCGGCGGCGGCGTTGGTTTGTTGCCTACGGTTTGGGCCATCTTCGGGGTGGCCAGCAGCGCCGGTCTGGTGCCAGCAGGCCAGGCGGCAATCCCCCCCACTGGCACGGATCCATCGCTGGCGCGGGAGCTGCGCCGCCCAAGCACACTATGCCAGAGCCCTCGTGGCATCCGCCGCGCCATGACATATAGGAGGGGCTTCGCCCCTTGCCGCCGACGCCCTCCTTGATTGCCCGCACGGTTGGGTCGATCGGGTTGCTTGGTCTGGCTGGCTGCCTGGATAGACGGTTGGCAGGTTGAGTGGTTCGTTGGCTGGCTGGCAGGTTGGCAGGTTGGCTGGCCAAGCAGATAACGGCTTGTGTTTCTGAGAGAGTTCGCGGAAGATGGAATGAGGAGCTATCGGAAGAATGGGGCGCCGTTCTGATGGATCGTCGTTGAGCACGCAGAGTGCTGATCATAACAGGAGCGACCGTTAGCGCTCGGAGATTCGTCGGAGCTTGGTGAGCGCTCGGGAGCGATCGAGAGCACCTGGGAGCGCTGTGGAATGTCGATCGGGGAACGCCTAGGAGTTTCTGGAGCGCCGAGAGCGCCGTGGAGCCCTCGGGAGCGTCCAGGAGCCCCGGGAGCGCTTGAGACCTATCTAAATTCCTAGAATTTATTGACGAGCTCGTTCTCAAGGGACGTCGTCCATGAGCTCGTCCCCGAGGGATGCCCTGAGTAGAGTCGCAGCAGGCGCATGCAAGACAATTTTATCCACGTGCGGAACGCGTGTTGGATGCGGACGCCTCTGCTGGTCGGCTAAGCCGGTCCAGCGGAGAGAATTTATTGATCATAATGGTGGGAAACGTCGAGCCTCTTCGGCCCTTGGCCCACTGGCAGCCACCGCTGAGCTGTAAAAACTTTTTCGGGTTGGTTCCGGTGGTTGTACACATGTACAGGCCGGGGGTGCTGTGGCTGGCTGGGTTCACGGACGGCCCGCCGCGGGGGGGGTAAATAAGCTCTTCTCCGCCTCATATTAAATTAAGACAGAACTTAGTTTGCATGCATTGCACTGTCCGCTGGAACTAACAGCTGCGTTCCGCAGCTGCATGGATGCTCGAACAAGCCAACCTTGGCTTGCAGGAGAGAAAAAGAGCGCGCCAGCCCTCGGCCGTCGTGCGTCGTCGGTCGTAGGCCAGCCGGCCTCCTCCCTACACATTCCTGATAGAGTAGCCTTGCTTAACGAATACTTGTCTTATCAATGTCTCATCCCGTCCCCTCTCTCCCTGAGCAGAGTGAACATGAGATCTTAATTCCTCTGTCATCTTACCCCGATTCTCAGAGGAAAGACTTATGGGGCTATAGGGCTTTAGGGCAATTGGGCTATACGGCTATAGAGCTATGGGGCTATAAGGCTATAGTGATATAGGGTTATTAGGGCTATAGGGCTATTGGGCCATACGGGGTATAGGGCTATAGGGCGATAAGGCTCTAGGGCTGTAAGGGTATGAGGCTATTAGGGCTCTAGGGCTACAGGGCACCGGGGCACCTGGGCACCTGGGCCCCCGGGCACGCCCGGGCACCCGGGCACCCGGGCACCCGGGCACCCTTGGGCACCCGGGCACCCGGGCGTGCAGCGAAAATCGGCGGCAAACCTAACCAAACCATATGAATCCGCTAGGACCCCTGCAGAGGCAAACTCTGATTGGGGAAATTCCTCCAGGAGCCCGTGCGCGAGGGGCCACGCAACAGTTCCCTCGAGAACGTGCTGCTGGGCGAGCTCTCGAGGGCATCGCCGGGTTCTCAAGGGCAGCGGGGGCGCACATCAATCAGATGCCAAAATTTTGTGGCATCTGCAGCGCGGACATATCTTTGTTGGCTCGTTCGGTGGATCGTGGCCTCGGGAGCGCAGACCCACTGCTATTCATCATGGGCCCGTGCGGCGAGAGCGCGGATCCATATGTTTGTACATTGTTTCGTACCCTCGGGAGCACGACAGCTTTTTGTACGAGGGGTCGTGGCCTCGGCACGCGGAATTATTTGTTTCGAGGGAAAAGTTGTGTGAAGGCCTTACGGCCAGTGCAGCCGACCCTGAAGGCGGGACCTCCCCTGGGACCCTGGGGTCCCCTCCCGGGACCTCGGGGCCACGGCCGGGGCCGGGGCCAGAGCCAGAGCTGGGACCAGGGCCAGCCCCCTCCCCCACCTGCAGGGGGAACCCCTCCGTGTCCCCGTGTCCACAGGTGGGACCATCCCCTTGGACCCGCCGGCACCCCCGGGGGATATACCCCCCCACTGCCCCCTACCCCCCCTGTGCTCCCCCCCTACCCCCCCCGTCAGGGAAGGGAAAAACGGAAGGGACTCGACGTGACTACGACGCATTTTGTTTTTATTCGTTCCTCAATTTTCTTGTGACTGGCGACGACGGACGACGACGAAAACGACGACAGCGTCTCACACACGCCGAGGGCGGCAGACTTGTTCCGTGTCCACAGAGGTTGACGCTCCGCAGACCTCGGATCTCGAGCCGCACGCTGCGACACATAGAAAAACGCGCAGATGCAAGACCGCAGGACCACATCGAGCGCTAGAACAATCCTGACCAATATTTTCAAGGGATTCGGTCAACACGGACGGGACCCAGTGGCTTGACAGCCGGCTCGCTTTCCGCGACTGGAACCAGGTGGGGCGTTTGCGGAAGGGGTTCCATTCGCAACGAGGACGATTTCCAAACCTATCCAGCCGACTCGTAGCCTCCGAGAATCGCGCATCGTATAATATTTCGTCAAGGTGTATTTGTCCGAGCGAGCGACAATTGAATAATCTTACCACTCTTCCCTGGGCCCCCGACTGTCAGTCAACCTGCGGCCAATCACGGACGGCATTGCATGAGTAGATGCTTTTTTGTTGGGGAAATTCGCCAACGCAGTTAGGAGTACGGGAGTAACAGAGTGTTCAATTGAGCGAAAAATACCGTAGCAACTGATAAATTTGGCCATGCCAACATTCCTGCAACTTGAGAGGGATCGTCAGACATGTCTTCACATGGCATCGCTTCACTGCAGAGCAGTCGTAGGGAGCCCCTGCCAGATGTTCTTTGTGACCCCGAGGCCCGTCCATAATGTCCACGATTGACCCGAGATCCTCTTACCCAACGCCCCCTTCATCTCCACGATGTTGATGCTGAGCGCCGCTGCTACTGGTATCGCCCCCGCCCCCCCCCCCCCCCACGGAGGCCGCAAAGGGGAGCAATGGAGGCGGCCGAAAGGGCGGTGAAGGTTTTGGATCCTGGCGCGTTCTAGGTGCGTTCTTGTTGAGACTAGTGGCTTGCTCCAGGCGCGTCGTCCAGAGTCTTCCGGGGGCACCATGAACCTTTGATACCCGACAGAACCGCTGGATGACGGGAGGAGGAGGAGAAGGAGGAGGAGGAGATGCAGGATGGAGGAAATGGAGATGCTCCCGATGGAGGAGGAGGTTCAGGGGGAGAAAAGCGAGGAGCCATTCGTTCCTCGGAAAGTGGCGGACCTCCCCCCCCGCCATTCGCTTGCTTCCTTTCCGTCCCCTTTTCTCGCGTCCACTCCCCCTCGCAACTTGCCCCATCGTCCCCACTTCCCCACTCTGATCCCTCGGCCTCGTCATTTTGTGATCCCATTGCCCCCCTCGCTTTTCCAGAGGCGCGATCGAACCAACAATAGCAGCAATGTAAACATGCACTCTTGGAGGCCCGCGCGGTTTTCCAGGGTGGGTGCTGCCCGCCGCCCCCTCCCCCCCTTGGCGCGCGAAGTTGCGCCGTGGGCGGCGCCGACGGCGCCGTCTGGAGGGACCCAGCGCCGACCCAATAAAGCTGCGCGGACCTGGAACTTCCAAGGCCGATGCCCATGTTTTGCTTGCCGCTCCGGGGCAGCCTCTGGGGCTCTCTGAGGTCGTGGGGCGTGCGCGTGTGCACCGAGCCTGTGCCCCAGGCCTGGCCAGGATCGGTGCGGGCGTGCTGCAGGCCTCCTGGATGTGGTCGGAGCAGATGGGGTCGGAGGGTCGCGCCGCATCGCCGATGCATCGGCGATGCGGCTCGATGTGGAGCCCGATTTCCTCCGCGCTAGCGTCACCGATGCATCGGCGATGCATCGCGTGATCTTCTGACTCCATCTGCCCAGACCCCATGTGGGAGGCCTTTGTTCCCCCGTCCCTGGACGAGCAGGGGAACCTCGCCACTCGGGCCCGTGCCACGCCCGCGGGAGGTTCATACTGCGGCTCGGCGAGCGCCTGCACGACCTCGGCAGCGGCGCGCTGCCCCCCCCCCCGCGCCCCTCGCGCGGCATCGTTCGGGCCCTCGGGGCGTGATAGGCCACCCCGCCCTGGAGCGGGTGGGGTCATTATCGGGGACCTATGGCCAATGGATCGGCGATGACGCGATGTAGCTCGTGCAGACACGGAATGCAGGAGGGGATCCAGGGGAGGGGGAAGATTTGGGTGGAAGGGAGGGGGGAAATTGTGGAAGGATTGTGATAATGGTGGTGGTGGTGTTGTTGTTGGTGGTGGTGGTGGCGATTGTAGTCGTGTTGATGAAGGTGATGACGATGTTTTGAATGATGATGGCCAAGATGACGATGTTGACGAATGTGATCATGAATATGTTGTTGCTGCTGATGGTGACGATGATGGCGCCAGTGATGATGATGTTGATGATGGCGCCGATGATGATGATGAGGATGCTGATGATGACGCCGATGGCGATGATGATGAAGAGGATTATGGTGATGATGATGATGCTGATGATGGTGATGACGATGAAGACGATGAGGTTGTTTATGCTGCTGATGCTGACTACGACGGTGGTGATGATGTTGATAGTGATGATGATGATGATGATGATGCTGATGTCGAGGATGATCATGAAACGACGACGACCACAACAACGATGATGACAAAGATGATGCTGATGCTGATGATTATCATGATGATGAGGTTGAGGATGATATGGAGGATGCTGTTTATGATGATGATGATGCTAAAGATGCTGATGATGATGACGATGCTGCTGATAATGGTAGTGGTGGTGGTGGTTGTGACGGTGATGTCGATGACGATGACGATGCTGATTATGATGATGCTGATGGGTGGTGGTGATGGTGATGACGATGGCGATGGCGATGCTAATGATGGTGACACTGATGATGATGCTGATTGTGATGATGGTGGTGATGATGAGGATGATGCTCATGCTCCTGATGATGATGATGATGATGATGATGCGGGTGAGCATGATGATGACGACGAAGATGTTGATGATGATGTTGTCGATGATGATGATGATGATGATGATGATGATGATGATGATGATGATGATGCTGATGCGGATGCTGATGATGCTGCTGATTATGAAGACGATGATGCTGGTGATGCTGATGATGATGCTGATGCTATTGATGCTGATGCTGATGCGAATGCTGATGACAATGATGATGATGAGGTTAATGATACTGGTGATGATGATGGTGATGGTGATGATGATGATGAAAATCATCATGATGCTGCTGCTGATGATGATGATGATGGTAGAGGTGGTGGTGGTGGTAGTGGTGGTGATGCTGCTGATGATGATGCTGATGATGATCATGCAGATTACAATGATGATGCTGATGCTGCTGATGATGGTGATGATGATGACGAGGATGATGACGAGGATGATGAGGAGCTGGATGATGGTGCTGCTGATGAGGATGGTGGCACAGAGGTGAGATGACGGTTATGGTCAGGATGATGGTTACGTTGATGATGGTGGTGGTGATGATGATTCGGAGTATGAGCATCTAGTGGCCTTGGGCCCATCCCGCCACAGTGCCACGGTTGTGAGTCAGAGTTCTCAAGGATGTTTCTTGGGATCTCTTCGGAGCGTTCTCGGAGGCCTCTTAGGGCCAGTGCTGAGGGTTCCTGGGGGCCTCGCAAGTGCCCCTTGGGAGCATCCTCTTTGGGGTTTCCTGGGGTTCTTTTGTGGTCCGCTTGGGGCCTCTTGGGGGCCCCTCGGGGCCGAGGGCTCGACATGTCCGTTCGGGTCCCCCGTCGGGTCCCGCTCTGTGACATCTTGAGGCTCGCTGGGGCCCTCTCTGAGCCATCTTGTGCCATAACGGCCGCTCAAACTACCCGCGACCCCCCCCCGTCCACGTCCAGGGGTAGGGGACAGGGTCAAGCTACCCCAAGCTACAAGCCGTATCGCTCACTTCCACCCGCCTTCCCAACACATAGGCAGCAACCGAGCCTGGGGCCCCGATCCCAATGAGTTCATGAGTTCGGGCCCTCTCGGAAGCACAGTGCCGAGCATTCAATGAGAAGGGTAGAGCCCGAAGTGTCAGACGATTCTTTGCGCTTCGCGTGTCCCCTCCAGTGTCTACGCCGTCATCTCGGTTCTTGCTCAGCTCACCTGGCTGGTATACGCCGTTGGCACGGTCTTGGCCCGTTGCGCCTCGCTGGCGACTCGACCATCGTTTACCTCGCCTTCGTGGCCACCAGGCTTGAGAGGGGTGCGGGCAGGAAGCTCACCTACGTTCTCGCCTCCACCGAGTGGTCCAACGCCGCAGGGCGTACACCGAATTCCCTGGCATTTTGCTCTGGGTTGCACGATGCTCGAGCTTCCCTGGGTGCCCGTCAGCCAGTCAGCCCTCGCTTTGCTGCCCCAGCGGCCGCCTTGTGAGCTGGCCCGGCCGGCCTGTTCTGCGCCCTGCAGCTAATTAGGTTTGTTCGCAGCCCCGGACAATTTCTGTCGCCGCGTGCGCTCTTCGCTCGCGGCCGCGACCGGAAAAAGTGGCCCCCCCCCAGCGTTGCCTCCCCGACGGCCCCCAAGTGGGATCCGACACGCTCGCGGCTGGACGCTTACATGATGCGCTCCAGGGCCTTCGGTCGTCTGGATCAATCCCACCCAGTGGGCGCGCGTCCGCATGCATCCCCCGCTCCGTGGCGCGCGGCCTCGACATCAATCTTCAACGGTGTCTGGCGATCCGGACCTTGGTCTGTCGAGCGCCTGCACGTGAGTTGGTTGACAGCTGGCGGCGCGCGAAGTACGCCCACTACCCGCGTGACGGTGTGATCGTTGGCCCCTGCCGCCTGCTTCTCGTGGTGCGTCTTCGAGCCGGTGTTCACTGGCTTCCGGCACGCTCGCGGTGTCACCCAACCAGAATCCCCCCGCCACTTTGGCGTTGCACTCCGGCTGGCGACTTCCCTCAGTTGACGGCGCCTTCCTCTGACCGGCAGCGAGCTCCGCCTCCTGTTTGTTCCCTCCGCTGTCCCTTCCTTGCCCCCCTCTTCTCTGTCCTGTTGGCGCAATGTAGGCCGTAGCTCGCCAGTTGCGACTTTTGGACAGCGCCCGGCGTCTCCGGTGCGCTTGCGATCGAAAAAAGTGCTCCCACCAGTCCGTTCAGAAACCGTGCCCATGAAAGCCGACAGGAAAAGGGACGAAGATATACATAAAGTGAAACAGAGCGGGCAGCCAGGATGGACAGGGAGATCTTCGCGAGCAAGGAGCTGGCCTTGGAGAGCCTCTTGGGGCCATCCCTAGGGCCCGCGGTGGGGCGGGGGCCTGAGGACAAGCTGAATAGGTGAGCTCGCGTCATATCTGACGTTCTACCCTTCCCCCCCATGCCTTGCCATGGCGCAGGTCTCTTCTCTATTCGCACAGTCGGATGTCGAGCAGGGCAACGATCGCGAAAAGGTGCGCGATGCATCGTAGATCACGGCATGGCATGGCGTAGAAGAGCACGGCAGGGCGCACAATGTTTTAGCATGGCGTGGTATTGCGCGGCGAAGCGTTGCATCACAGAGCGTTGCAACGTAAAGCATGGCATCGCACAGCGGCGCAAAACGGAACGCCGGTCAACATATCATGGCAGGGCGCCGGGTTCTTTGGAGGGTAATTATATAGGTTTCGAAGGGTCGGGGACGGTCTGGACTCGCGGCTCCATGTTTAGTTCCCTGGGCTCCGCGACAAACGCCCCGCAATGCGGGACTCATGGAGAGCACCCGCTGGCTCTGTCACCCTCTGAAAGCAGAAACGGTGCTTCCGCTTGATACTTCGGGCCTCTTGCGGCCCAGAAAATTCAACCAATCGACGCCAGATGTGCCATCACTTGCGATGTTTTCTTGTTGTTTCGCTTGTATTTTTGCGGAAAAAAGGGTGCTTATTTGGAAGTATTGGAAACGCCAGATTTGCAGCGGAACCACGTTATGGAACAACCAGTGGCGCAGAAATGGGGCCAGCGCTGCAGCGGGAACAAGGACTGATAATAACCGGACTGCTAACAACACATATGAAAACCAGCAAATGAGGCCAACATTGCAGCGGGAACACGATTCGGAACGAGCGGAAGGCCGAAAATGAGGCCAGCGTTTCAGCGGGAACAGCATTTTCTGGAACAGACAACGAAAACCTGCTTGGGATCTTGAGTGATTCGGGGCGTCATCAAGTCGTAGCATACCCGCGGGCCCTTTTGTTCGAGCTGCGTTGGAGGAGAAAGAGCCCCAAGAGACGCTTTCCCCACGCATCCGCGTAACTTCCGCCATGGTAGCGGGGGGCGTGGTTCTGCGGTGAACTACGCGGATCAGACCCACGGGAAGACTGAGGACGTGCGCTGCCCATGGCAGTGGCGCCCAGAGAGCAGCTGGTGGATTGCAGAGGCGACATCAAGCTGCCAGAGTTCAGTGGCAGAGATGAGGACTGGCCCAGCTTGCCCATCAAAGCCCACGCGCTATTCGCGCTGATGGGCTGGGATGACCTCATCGACAGCGCTGAGGCCCAGCCAGCGCTCGCAGTGGATAGTGTCAGCGTGGGCGAGCGCGCGGCAGCAACGAGCAAACTGCTGCATGCCATGCTGATCACCACGACCCAGCGCAAGGCGCTGGCGATGGTGACGTTCGCAGGCAGACACGGGGGTTTCGTTGCCTGGCGGGCGATCAAGAACGAGTACGAGCCTGGGGTGGCCACCAGATTCGCGGCCATGCTCAGCGGCCTGCTCAACCCCGGGCGGGGCGACCTGAAGCCGTTCGCTGACCAGCTCATTGACTGGGGCAACAACGTGGCGAGGCACGTCATGCAGGCGGGGAAGGACTTCGGCGATGAGTTCCGCATCGCCGCGCTGCTCGTCCATGGCCCCGAGCCGTGCAACGCCGTGCTACGCGGCGCTCCGACGGCCGCCAAGGTCTCGCACGCGGCGCTGAGGGCCCGCCTGAGAGAGTGGATGGCGCTTGGGCAGGTCTTCGCAGCTGGCAGCGCGGTGGGCCGCGGCGCGGCGCCGA